GATGAGCGAGTCCACGGAAGACAGGGGCGCCGTGTCAATGGCGCTCCCTGGGGAGGCGCCCTGGGGGGCCAGCTCCAGCATGCTGGTGCTCCTGCTGCCCTGAGCCATGGGGACCGGGCCGGTCAGCGACGCCTGGGACTGGGAGCGGAGGAGCCGCCCCGAGCAGCGGGCCCCAGGCTCCTCCTCGTCGGACGCGATGTCCCGCAACGGGCCGGGAAACTCCTTAGCCTGAGAGTAGCGGCTCTCGGGGGGCTCCGAGTCGGGGCTCAGGGCTCCCGGGGCCCCTCGGTGGTTGTCCCCCTTGATTTGGACCCCAAAGGAGTCGCTGCCCTTCTCCCCGCTGTTGAGCACCACAAAAGGCTGCCCCGCGATGCCCTGCACGCGCACGGCGACCCCGTAGGTACTGGCTCTGGCGTCCTTAGCCGGGCGTCGCCCCCCGTGACGCAGGGTGCCCATCTCTGTGGCCCCCGCCGGCTCTGTGATGAAGCGAATCTGGACTCCGTGGTCTACGGGGCCCCGGGGCTCGGCCATGGTGAACGCCTGCTCCATGGGCAGGAGGGGTCCTAGAAGGTGAAGAAAGGGGAGTCGGCTGAGAGACTGAAACCCAGAAACCTCCCCCAACCCCGCTTTGGTGAGGCCGACTGCCTTGTCGTTTCCTTCTGCATGAGAACTGTGGTTCTCATTCTTGATCTGAATAGCGGCAGCACCCCAAGGGCTTATTAAAACAGCCCACCCCCAGAGTTTTTGATTGGGTAGGTCTGGGGTGGAGCCTGAGGGTTTGAATTTCTAAAAGTTCCCAGGTGGTGCTGATGCTGCTGGTCCAGGGACCACACTTAGAGACACGCTGACCCAGAAGAATCCATCTCCTCTGTTGTAGTTCTGGGAACTGGGCTCATCAATAGTTTAAAGATTTGCTTGATCTTCACACACAGACATATACGCACGGGTGCCTCGCCACCCAGCGAAGGCAGAACCCAAGCCCTGTCTCACCGACACCTCCACCCCCACAGAGCAAAGGGGCCTCCACTCCCTCAGCTCATTTCAAATACAGAAGACCTCCAAGGCATGGCATCCCATTTCTGGAAGAACACTCAAAGTGACAGCAGGGGCGCCTCTGGATTGGGGGGACTGAGGGCTAGGGACAGGGACGGGGAAGTGACTGGCTTTCTCCTGTGTATCTGTGTCCCTTTTGAATTTGGAACCATGTAGATGCACTGCCTATTCAAGTGAAGATGTAACTAACGTATAAGAGTGCCAGCCGGAGGGGCCTCAGGACACACAGACTTGTCCCACCCGAGAGGCAGGGCCAAGACCAGGTCCCCAGGTCCACACTGCCTGAGCTCACAGTCAGCGAGTGGCATGTATTCCAGGTGTGTTCTGGCTCCAGGAACTCCAGCTTCCCCAGGGAGCCGATCCCCACTGGAGCCCAGCACCAAACTGGAGGAGGAGCCTCCAGTGTGCCGGACAGAGACACACACACGCCCAGCGCACCCTCCCTGCAGAGCTCCAGCTGAAGAAGCTTGGCGAGGCCCCTTCCAGGCACTGTACAAAGTCCTAGGAAGCCAGGTGACCAGAGAGAGGGAAAGGGAGGGCAGGCTCCAGGTGAGAAAGGGCTCCAGCAGGAGGAAGAGCATTCCTGGCATTCCAGGCCCTTCCCCCTCCCAAGAAAGGAATCAGGAGGGAGGAGCCCCTAGCTGCAAAAAAAAAAAAAAAACAAAAAAAAAACAAACCAACAACCCAACCAACTCAACACACCTCCTGTGGTGTTGAGACTCCATTGCAGGACATGATGAAAACAGTGCTCCCTCCCCGCAGGAGACAGCCCACCCGAACTCTACCACAGACTCTCAAGAGGTTCATGAACACCTTAAAGCCCACCCATGAGCCTGAGGACCCCAAGAGTGTCTGGAGGACATTAATCAACCTGACTCGGATGCCCCGAACCACAGGACATTTAGTCGGCAGGGCCCTATGCTGGAATTCAAGTAAGAAATGGGACCAGAAAAGCCACAAGGCGAAGGGGGAAGTTTCCGAACCACCCATCCAGTAGAAAAGGCACTGGCCGGAGTGGCATCTGGCTTGGGATCCTAGCTGTGCTCTTCACTCGATCTACAACCTTGGGCAAATCACAGCTTTTCTGAGCCTCCGTTTCTTCATCTTTAAAATGGGCGTAATGATAATGCCTCACGAGGTAATTATCTGTGAGAATTAGACAATAATTGCACGGGTGTACACGACTGTTAAAATTTATCAAGCTATCCACTTAAGATTTTTGCACTTTATTTACTTAGGTTCTACTTTAATTAAAAAAAAAAAAAAGACAAGACAAGATACTAAACATCAATGCACCTAGCAGCACATGCCTCTCGGAAAGCTGACACGTTACCCTGCACACACCTGCTCCTTCCAACAGGACCCTCTGGGCTTCACCTGATTCACAGAAGGATGTACCCTCGTCAGAGCAGCCTTCCCCGAACCCTCGTCCCACAAACTAGGTCACAACCATGTTGCACGCTCTACAGTTGTCCTTCAGTGACTTTGCCTCGGCTTGTTTTTATATATGTACCGGAGTGACGCCTTATCTGTCTCCCCCACTAGATTATAAGCTCCTAGAGGGTGAAGACCATGGCTCTCAGCGGACTCCTGTGTCCCCAGGGCCTGGCAGACGATAAATATTTGTTAAAGGTTGCCTCCTGAACCAAGGAGACTCCAGAGCAGCGGGGAGATCTGCCCCAGGATCCCTCACAGCCATCTCACACTTGCCTTAGTGACAAGACCTCCTCCTGGCCTGGACTCCCTGCCCTACTCTGCTCACAGTTTTGGAACCAGATGTGCATAGACTGCCAGCTCTCCGAAGTCACATGATTTATTCATGGTGCCGCTCTACTGATCTTCCAGATCCAGGCCAAGAGGTTCCCAGGCCTGGCTCAGCGGGGCACACCGCCCCTTGCTCGCCCACGGGTGCAGAGCTGTTCGGAGGCGGCATCGAATGCACCCCCAGGTCCCAGTGCCTCCCAAACCTCAACCAATGGGGATCAGGGGCCAGGAGGGCCGAAGGGATCTTTGGGGTAGGTCAGAAAGCAGGGCTCTAAATGATTCAACATGGAAAACCCGAAACCTATCCGCCTCCAGTCACAGAGGGCAGCGGGGTGGGGAGCGGGGCAGCTCCAAGGCCTTGCGTAAGCCCCAGAGCCAGGTAAACAGTGATCCAGCGCCAGGCAACAGAGTCCAGAGCTTTCGCTCTCACCAGATGCCTGACCCTGCTCCTCCCGCCCCTGGCATGTGCCCAAGGTGCTCCTCACCAGCTGTACTCTGGGAAGAGACCAGGCTACGAGTTAATTCAGCTTCATCTGCCTGCCTCTGCCATTCCTGCCCGCAAGGGGGTTAGATGGTGCACCTGTACCAAACAGCCACTTCCCCCTGAGTTACTCATTAGCCTGCCCTGCCTCAATTCCATCCCCTCTGGCCCAGCCATGGCGTCTGGCTCCCGACTAGGAGTGACTGGGTCTCTGGACTCCTGGCAGGAAGTGGGGGTGGGGTGGTTTCAGGTGCACAGAGGAAGAACTGACATACGCAGCGCTGGGCAACATGCTAGATGCTATGAAACGGGCAGATTTAGAAAATGGGAGAAATGGAGGTAGAGGTTAGACTCCCCTCTGAGGCAACGAGGAAAGTACATGATCGGAAGGGAACAGGGCAGCTCAGACCTCGATCGCTTGGCTCCTATTTTCTCATAGGGTTACAAAGGTAAGGGTTCCTCATGGAACCGAAAAGAACCCCCCGAGTAGACTCCTGGCTCGGTCCACTGGTAAAGCCGAAACCTGAGAGCCAGACTAGAGCTGCTTGGCCAGTGGGGTAAGAAAACACAATGAGGAACTGGGCCCCTGCGAACTTGCTGGACTGGTTTGAGGGGGAAGGGGAGGGCCAGGGAGATTCGGCCAGGCAGCCTGTAAAGCAGACCCGAGAAATTCCACAACGCAGAGGAGGCAGAGGGGCAAAACCATGGGCAGGGACTCTGTCCCGCCTAGATGTCAAGGCCAAGGCTCTGAAGGAGGAGGCAGAAGGTAGAGAGGGAACGGGCGGGAGGAGCAGATGCACAAAAAATCTGGTGACTGACAGTCCAGCGTGTGACAAGAAGATTCGACCCTCCACCCCTCCCTCTCAAGTTCCCAAAGATGCATTCCTGATCCCACACTAACTCGGGCCACCTCCCTGGCCCTCCGTTTTCCCCTCCCCCACACACAGAGAAGCAGCCCTACCCCCTCCCCTCCGGAGGTGAAGGCATGCAGGTTCCAGGAAGCCAGAATCCTCTTAGGGTCAGGCAAATCTCTGGATTAGCAGTCCCCTCGTGCCAGCCCCCCACTCCCAAATATCCGGGATGGAAGGAGAGGTGCAGAGGCACCCGTAGGCAGCCTGTCCACAATATAGCGGTTACTAATTATTTCCCCAATTACAGCTAGGGCTTCAAAGGGGCTGAGCTAAGGCTGGCTCCGGTTCCCTTACCTGCCTAAGGCAAAGGAATCTGCCTCGGTCTTGTTGGGGCCCCGACGCGCACCTCTCCTCCAGCTGGAGACCTGGAGGTGCTACCTCCCCTAGGCCTGTGGTCTCCTGCGGTCTCCTGCCTACTTCCTGCACCTCTGTTGCCCACTGCCAGTCTGACAGCCGACAGGGTCCAGGAGCCAGGGACACCTGGTGGGGTTTCAGGGAATAATGGCGATCTTCTGAGGGGCATCCAAGAAATAGGTTAGGCTCTCAAACCTCACCTGGTGGCCCCGTCTAGAACTACAGAAGAAAGTATGCGCGCTTGGGGTGGGGGTGGGCGGGAGGTTTGACATTAGCCCCCAGAAAGAGCCCTCAATGGAAACAGTTCTAGATATTTCGTAGGCCCAGGGATCTTCGCTTCCCCATAGTCCTCTCTCGGAGAGAGCACTGTTTCCAGAGGAAGAAGGAAAAATTCCCCCTGGCATGAAAGCAAAGGGCAGAAACTGAGCCTTAAATAGTTTCGCACCTAGCAAAGAGATGGGGGCGCCCTCTTGCTCTGCCCCTCCGTGTCTCTTATTTGCAGCTGTCTTCGCCCGTAGGTGAATGGTTACAGGAAGATCCCACCCCTCAGAGCCATCTCAAAGCCAGAAGGGAGGTGTCAGCACCAGCGAGACTGGCATCGGGTTGAAGAACCTCAGGAAAACAGCACCTCTCCCTGCCCTGCCCCAGTGTCTCTGAACCTGGCAGAAGTCCCCTTCGCCCAGCCGAGACCAACGCCATCCCCCCCACCACTCCGGTCTCCTAGAGACATTCTGCCCCTGAGACCGACCTCTGACCTCCAGAGAGATCCGGGCCCTGAAACGCTTTCGTGCCCTGGGAAACGGCCTTAACCTCAGGTGTCCCTCACCTGGCACCTTCCCAGGCACCTGTCTCCGTCACCTTAGAATGGGAGCCAGCTCTGAACCAGTACTCCACCCTGCCTTGACCTCCCCTCGCCCTCGCTCCAACTCAGCACCTGTGCGCTGGAGGGAGGTACCTCGGATCGCCTCGACCCCCGCCCCTCAGGGGTGCACCTGAGGCCTGCTTGCGTCTCAGGTGCCCTTGCCCGGGTCCGGTTCACTCACCCCAGCCCAGCCCGGCCCGGCGCTCCCGAGCTCGAGCTCGGGTTCGGGCTCCGGCTCCGGCGGAGCTGCACGCGCGGCTCCGGGGCCCTCCCCCTCGTCCCTCCGCGCTCCCTCCTTCCCTCTCCCCCTCCCACCAACCTGTTACTCCCCTCCGGAGCTCCACCCCCATTGGCCGTCACCACCCGGCCCGCCCCAGCCTCCCTCCGGTTGGTCCGTTTCCCGCGAGGGGCGGGGCCTCGGCCGCAAGGACCCGGACCCGGGGTCG